ACAGTAGTGAGGTTGGCCCAGGATTGGGCAGTGTTTCATTCTGTTGTACATAGGGTCGTTATGAGTAGGTACCGACTCAATGGCACCTAACCACAACAACAACCATACTACATATACTAGAAATTACATAGCAATCCTCTACATGTGCTGGGGAGTCCTGGTATGGCGCTGCAGGTTAATGTGCTGGACTGTAAGGTTGCTTTAAACCGCAGGGTTGGCGTTTCAAGTTCACCGGCAGTTCCTCGGAAACCTTATATAGGGTTGCTATGAGTCAGTACCAACTTAGTAACAACAACATATGTGCTAGAGTGATAAATGAGATACAGGAGTATTACATAATTTCTCATTTAATTCATGATGGAAGACATTAAAGAGATGGTGGAATCTTTCAAAGGGTGGAAAAGATGACCAATCAAAGAGACCATGAAGGTTATGGTCACTGTTTTTTGGAACTTCAAAAAGGGGTAATTTTGATAAAGGCACAGGTAATTTTTTTGAGGGCACAGGCTTATTATGAAGAAGTTTTAAGAAAACTGAAGGAAAAGGTCAGGGAAGTTGTGTCAAGGAATCTTTTTCCATCATAACCATGTACCTGCTCATTCTTTGAGTAGCAAGGACTGTCCTATAGAATTTCATTGGAAAACCTTACCCTATCCCTTCTCTTCAGTTCTGTCCTTGCCCTTGAAGGTATCTTTTTGTTCCCCAAACTCAAAGAACGTTTCAAAGGAATGTGATTTGAGTCCCTCAAGGATGCTAAAACTACCAAATTGAAGAGTGGAGAATTCTTCAGGGAAGGGCTATTATTCTTGTTGGGTGCCATCGAGTTAGAACCAACTAATAGTAACCCTATGCACAACAGAACGAAACACTGCCCAGTCCTGAGCCAACCTCATAATCATTGCTACATTTGAGCCCATTGCTGCTGCCATTGTGCCAATCCATCTTGTTAGGAAGTGTCTTCCTCTATTTCTCTGACCCTCCGCTTTACCAAACATGATCTCCTTCTCCAGGGACTGGTTCCTCCTGACAATGTGTCCGAAGTATGAGAGACAAAGTGTGGCCAACCTGACTTCAAAGGAGAATTCTGGCTATACTTCTTCTAACACAGCTTTATTTGTTCTTTTGGCAGTCCGTGGTATTTTCAATATTCTCATCCAACACCATAACTCAAAATGTAACAATTCTTCTAGTCTTTCTTATTCACTGACCAACTTTCACATGCACATGAGGTTACTGAAAATACCATGGCTTGAGCCAGGTGCACCTTAGTCCTCAAATTGACATCTTTGCTCTTCAACACTTCTTCTTCAGCAGACTGGCCTAATGCAGTGCATCATTTGATTTCTTGACTGTTGCTTCCCTGAGTACTGATGATTGATCCGAGCAAAATGATGTCTTTGACAACTTCAATCCTTTCTCCATTAAAATGGGTGTTGTTATTTGTCCAGTGCTGAGGATTTTTGTTTTCTTTGCACTGAGGTGCAACCCATAATGAAGGCTGTAGTCTTTGATCTTCATCAGTAAATACTTTAAATCCTCTCCACTTTCAGCAAGCAAGGCTGTTTCATCTGCATATCACAGGTTGTTAATGAGTCTTCCTCCAATCCTGAAGCCACATTTTTCTTCATATAATCCAACTACTTGGATTATTTGCTCAGCATACAGATTGAGTTAAGTATGGTCAAAGAAAACAACCTTGGCGCATACCTTTCCTAATTTAAAACTATTCAGTGTTCTTTGTTCTGTTTGAACAATTGTCTCTTGTTCTATGTACAGATTCCTCATTAAGTGTTCCAGAATAGTCGTTCTTTGCAATGTTGTCCATAGCTTGTCCTGATCCACACAATCAAAATCCTTTGTATAGTCAATAAAATACGATAAACATTTTCTGGTAGTCTCTGTTTTCAGCCAAGTGCTGACATCAGAAATGTTACGCCTCGTTCTAAGTCCTTCCTTGTCTGAATCCAGCTTGAACTTCTGACAGTTCCACCATTGTACATTTGCAGCCATTTTTTAATTATCTTTAGTAAAATTTTACTCACATGTGATATTAATGATACTGTCTGAAGATTTCCACATTCTATTGGGTCACCTTTCTTTGGAATGGGCACAAATATGGGTCTCTTCCAATCAACTGAACAGGTAACTATCTTCCAAATTTTTTGGCATAGGTAAATGAGTGCCTCCAGTGCATCATCAGTCTGTTGAAAGATTTTAATTTGTATTCCATCTATTTCTGGAGACTTGCTCTTTGCAAATGTCTTCAATGCACCCTGGACTTTTTCCTTCAGTATCACTGGCTCTTGATCATATGCTACCTCTTGAAATGGTTGAGCATGATCAACCATGCCTTTTTGGTACAGTAACTCTGTATATTCCTTCTATCTTCTTTTGAGGTTTTCTGCATCATTCAATAATTTGGTTCCCAGAGAATCCTTCAATATTACAAGTAGAGGCTTGAATTTTTTCTTCAGTTTCCTAAACTTGAGAAATGATGAACGTGTTATTCCCTTTTGGTTTTCTAATTCCAGGTCTTTGCACACTTTGTTATAGTATTTAGCTGGAAACACCACATTCAGAAGTATATAGACCTAGATAGATGGAGGGTATGTTGAGAATTAGTAACTTTACATATTGTTATTTTTATAAAATAAAGGTATGGTAAAGTAGATTTACTCATGGCTCTTCTACTCTTTGTCTTCATAACTCTTATCAAATGTCTGAAAGGGACCATGCAAACAGGGTCTGTGGGACTCTAATGCAGGGACTGCTTGGATTTGCCCTTCTGCTAGGTTCAAAAGGAATGATCTCAGAAACAGAAGATCCCAAGACCATCAAGAAAGACAAGCCATGAGCAGAGGATTGCCTCGACAGGTGGCAACAGTACAGAGTAACAGAGTATTAGCTTCCTGACCCTGGGATGGAGTACAGCTGAGCATCTTCGAGCAGGGACTAGACTACAGAATATAATCTCTGGGTATTTACAGACAACATTAAAGGAACTTTGTAACACTTGCTGGAGCAGGGCAGAAGCCAAAGAGTCCCGTGGCTGAGCAGAAGAGGCCAAGAGTGTGCCTATAGTACAGCTGAGAAAGGGCCTTCCTGACTGGAGAACTGCTGTATACTGAGTTGTTTCTGATCCTGAACTGTAAATTGTTCACTTCCCTGATAAACCCCATATTCATGAATACTATTTATGAATTCTGTATGGCAACTGCAACAGATATTAAACCCAGCAGAGAATAAGAGTGCTACGAGAGGGGTGGTTGGTGTCAGAATAAAAAAATGGCTTTAGGATGGAGGGCATGCCTGACCTCTCCCTGCCTCACAGAAATTGGCCTTGGGTTGTTTTTAAGTTGGACTCTCTTTTCTCCTGAAGGTGGAAGAAGTCAGACATGGCCTCCATGCTGTTTTTACAAAAGGTTTCTATGATTTTGTAGCAGTATTTTCTTACTTACCCTCCCACATACAGGACAGAGCTATGAGGTTTCTTAAGACATATCCAAACAATTGTACATGGATATGTTTACTGGGTTACAAGGCTTGGGACCATAGTCTCACGAGTCGACTTAGTTATTGGCATAATGTAAAGTTCATAAAGAAAATGCACTACATCCTATTTTGGTGAGTAGCATCTGGGGTCATAAAAGCTTGTCAATGGCCATCCATTGGTCTCCACTCATACAGAGAAAAAGAGAAAGGAAGAAAATCAAAGCTCAAAAAAGAAACAAGTCCACAAGACTAACCTGAAACGAGGGACACAAAAGGTCCTGGAATAGGAGCAAAATTCAAATTTCTCAAGACCTTTAGACCCACTGGACCAACAGACTAGAGGAACCCCTGAGACTATCACCCTAAGATACTGTTTGAATGTGGAGTTGAAGCTATTTCTGTAGGTCACCATCCAGCCAAATAATAGATTGGCATAAAAAATAAATAGTATCATCCATGAGTAATGTGCTGCCTTAAACAATTAACTGTACGCGACCAGTCAACACCACCTACCCAAAAGCAAAGATGAGAAAGCAAAGGGGTAAGGGAAGCTAGATCAATGGAAATATGACACATAATAAACACGATGAGAACACTGACACATTGTATAAACTGTGACCAATGGAATAGACATTTTGCATAAAAATGGTTAAAGAGGAATCTAACTTACTATGTTAACTTTCATCTAAAACACAATCAAATATTAAAAATAAAAATCATATATGAAGACCAATAAAGGACTATTTCATAAAAGCATGGAAGATTACAACCACAATGGGATTCTAAGTCACATGAGAGCAGTAAGAAAGGACAGAGCCCAGACAAAATAATAATCCAACTTATGTGGCTAATGTTGAGACTAGGAATACCGAAAAGCTCCCTTGTCTGACTAAAACATGTTTCATTCACAATTTGAAGTGAACAATCTGAATTAATATTGGAATTGGGTCTACATTAATTTAAAATCTGATTTGGGAGGCATGTTTATGGGTCCAATAATATGGTTCCAGGGCCAATGGGGATTTTATTCAATTTCTTGCCATTTTGAAAACTTTTAGTCTATTTAACAGCATACTTTTTAAGTCAAAAGGAACCATAGTTAAAATGATTAACTACCCTACCCTACAGTATCACTGACATTGTTTTAAAGTAGAGAATTCAACACATTGTTACCCTGAAAGACTGATAATAAATATCATAAGTAAAATAAATTTGAAAAATTTCAAACTAATACATCCAAAACATTGTCTGTCAGTGAAAAACAAGTATAATAAAAGAAACCTGTGAAGTTATGAAAATCAATTTTCCAGAAACCTATCAAGGTTTCTGACTTGAAAATTAGAAATTTTTCTAATTTTAGAAGCGGATAGGGACAATATTTCCAACTTTACTACAGTGAAAATCAAGTAAAAATGCAAATTAGGACTCATTTAAAGAAAACTGGACAGTCTTAAATTTTAGATAGCCTATTCCTATCAATTAAGACTAAAATGCTTTAAATTTCATACCTTTCCAACTGCTTCTGATGTTTCTCCTCCCTAGCCTGGGCCTTCATCTGCTGTACTTCAATAGTATCAGGCTTTCTTCTTCGCATGTATAGCTCATGGTTTCCCATACATAAAGCCAAAATCCGCTTATTGATTCTCAGACGAGGTGCATAAAAAACAAAATCCTGAACATAAAACATTCTTAATGAAAATATTTGTGAAGGAAGTCTCTCACACAAATTTGTACTAAATTTGAAATGTAGTCTAAATTCCAATGTCACATGACATACACTAACCATAAACTTTCTTATCTACTGGTGCAAATGCCACACTTTTTACAGAACTGACTCCTCACCTTTCCATAATCCACTAGTTTTGTAAGGAGGTTAATATTCGTATCCCCGCAATACAGTAAATTAGATTTATTCTTTTTCCCCTCCAAAAGTAACTTTAAAAAAAGCACACTTGTTCTAACTGTTGCTGCTAGGTGCCATAGAGTTGTTTCTGACTCCTAACGACCCTGTATGGGGGGTTCCCAAGGCTGTATATCTTTGAAGGAGCAGAAAAATCATATCTTTTTCCAGTGGAGCAGCTGGTTAGCAGTCCAACACTTATCCTACTAAACCACCACAGTGCTTCCTCTCTTGTTCCTAGTAGGAAGTTTTTGATTTTTTATTTAATTTTTGTCTTTAGCCATACATCTTACAACTGATCCTTTATTTTTCATGGCTATAGAGTGTTTTTTTTAAAATATAGAAATGTTCTCTAAGCTTAGCTTTTTGTCTTTTTAATAACTAACAAAGTTAAAATACTAGGGTATACATGACACAAACTACACCTACTTGCCATCAAGTGAATTCTGACTCATGGTAACTTCATGTTTGTCAGAGTTTAAAACATAACTTTTCAGCAATACACATGTCTCCAGAAGCAGATGAATGATGGTTGCACTTGAGAAGCAATGCCTGGAAATTGAACCTGAGTGTTCAACATGGTAGGCAAGAATTCTACTACTGAACCGTGACTACCTCCCTCATACCTGACCCTTGATGTAACCAAAAAAAAAAAAAAAAAAATCTATTTATGCATAAAGATTTTCCATTCAAGCCTTCAAGTTAAAAAAAATACAAAGCTATGATGTGAAACTCTATAATCAATTAGTTTAGAACACGGCTATCTCTACTTCATTCTAGCAATCAAGTAACAGGTTTTTAAAAATTGCCTCTTGGGTAAGATGAATGTTTTCAATCACTTCCTAATAAATGTTACCTAGTTTATATTTTGGAGTCCTGGTGTGGTGCTGTAGGCTAAGTATTGGACTAATAACCATAAGGTCAACAATTCAAACCTACCAGCTGCTCCTCGGAAACCCTATACAGGACTGCTATGAGTTGAAACTGACTCAATGGCGCTTAACAACAACAATAATCTTATATTTTAGGGAGTGCAAGTGGTTCTGTAGGATAAGCACTAGATTAGAAACCCCAAGGTTGGTGGTTCCAGACAGCCAGCCACCCCACGGGAGAAAGATGAAAGAAAAAACAGCCTTGGAAACCCTATACAGAGTCACTATGGGTCAGAACCAACTTAATGGAAATTAACCACAACATCTTACATTTTCATTCCACTTTTAGTTAATTTTGAGCACTTAAACAAAAGACTAATGACTTTTGTAAAAACAAAACCAAACCAAACACTAGCCTCAGAAGGCCCAGAAATCTACTTTCAAAAGAATCAGCAACTGGAAACCCCATGGAACTGAGGCCAACTGACAATCAACTACCAATTAGAAATTTTTACCAAATGTCTGCTCATAATGCAACAAACCTTAAAAAATGCCTAGAAGAAACCCACAGTAAAAGTAAACTGGCAAAGTCTTTTTGGAAGGCAATTTGACTTTTATGTATTTATCAGCTGAACCACACTAGGATCAGGGTTATATACTGTTAAAGTCTCTTGATTCTGTGTTATATACTGTTAAAGTCTCTTGATTCTGTTACTTTGTGGATACATGAGAAAAGAGGAAATGCATCTAGAAATTATTTTTATACTCATTATTTTTAACACAACTGGAAAGTGTGTTGTTGTTAGTGCCATCGAGTTGGTTCTAACCCACAGCGATCTTGTACAGGGTTTCCAAGGAGCAGCTGGTGGGTTTGAACTGCTGACCATGTGTTTCACAGTCCAGTGCTGATGCTACAAAGCCACACCAGGCAAGTCATATTGGAAAGTAGCTACTGATGCTTCAATCATCATTTTGTTGTTATGTGCCATCGAGACAGTTCTGATTCATACTGACCTTATGTACAACATAACCAAACACTGTCCAGTCCTACACCATCCTCACAATTGTTAGTAAACTTGAACCCATTGCTACTGCCCTATCATCGCTGTTGATGTTGTTAAGTGCTGTCAAGTCAGTTCTGACTCACAGTGACCCTGTGTAGGATTTTCGAAGTGTGGGTAGTGAGTTTGAACAGCCAACCTTGTGGTTCAAACTGACATTTCAGACCAGTGCATTACCCTACAGTGCCTTACAAGGACCCCAATCATTAGTAGTTCTCAATCAATAGTACTGATACAATAAAAGAGCAAGAGATCATAACTTAAGAGCAGTGTTTTTTATTTTTTAAACCTTTTGCATTAAGAAATATTTAAGGCCTGAAAAAAGATGTAAAACAAGTCTATCATAAATTGATAGATACTAGTGGTTGAAGCTCACCCGTGGCTCCTTGGACACCCTATACAGCGTCACTATGGGTCGGAATCGACTGGACAGCACTTAGCAACAATATACACTAGATAATACTTTTTAGCTTAAAACAAAAAAAGTTAACTATATATGTTAATATGTCCTGGTCTGGTGGACTACTAACCACAAGGTTGGCAGGTAAACCCACGACTTCAGAAACCCTATACAGGGTCACTATGAGTCGGAAGCTACTCGATGGCACTTAACAACAATGACATATATATTAAAGCTTCCCATACACTCCTCCTGGTCACATATTCTCCATCATATCACCTCTACTATGAGGTAGACACTGTCCTGAATTTCATGTTTATCATTTCCATGCATTTGTTTAGGTTATGCAACATTATTATATATTACATGAATCTAATACAGTATTGTTCTGTCTAGTTAATTTTATAAAAATTATTTCATACCAGAAAACAATTTACAACTTTGTTTTTAAAATCACCTTTATTATTTCATTACTTGGAAAGTTAAACTGTGGAAAGATCATGCATGCGACTCAAAAGCAATTCAATAAATGAACAATGCCATTTTCCAAGTGACATCACAGCAGACTGGCAAATATCAACATTAATAAAAACATTTAAAAAAAATTACTTACAGGTGCTTTTTTGTCGATTGGCTTTATAACAAATTTTTTGTCATTAAATGAAATATTTCTTATTTCACTCCAAGGAAAACCAATTTTAGGTGTTAACCTTCAAAAATGAAAGCACCCTTTAATTAAAGATAGAAAACAATGTACAAAATTTGTAACACTTTCTGGAACCAATTTAGCTAAATAAACATTCTTAAGAGTTCCAGATTTTGAAAGTATATTAACTTTATATGAAACAAACAACTCAAAAGATACAGCTAACATTAACTTTCAAGGGAAATTTGAAATTAAATTATATAAAACAAAGATTTCATAAATGTGACATGAACCATAAAGACGTAACATAATCTTCCTAAAATTACCTAAAAAACTATTTAGTGAGCAGAATGTACACCTGTGACTCATGAAGTTTGTACTAACTTTATTTAGCCTCTATTTTAAAAATAAAGCCTTTATAACGTTTCATGTGACTTACAGACATAAGTTAGTATTTTAAAAAAATTATTTCCTTCTTCTGCTTGGTTTTTAAATGTTTGGATATTTATAAGTACACTAGAAACACTGAATTTCATACTTTAAAATGATAATCATATGACATATTAATTATATTTCAAAAAAACATTTCATGAATATATACATACAAATGTTTGTATAAATGGAAAAGCTACAATGAAAAGCTAAAATGGAAAATTATACAATAGTTGTTCTCATTTTTACTGCCCTATCTACAAAGATTTTAGGAATCAAACTGGAGCAAGTAATTTTGTTTCAACATTTCACAAATCAATCACTGTTGTCCTACAACAAGCGGAAGCAGGGGCAAGTGACACCTATGAGGGCATAAAGAGCATCTTTTAATCAGGCTTCCAGTAACAGCATACATGTATGCTCCTTGTAGTTCTTAAAACAGACTAGGAACTGCAGCACACTAATAACTTCTAAATAAAACACGTTATAATGCTGTCTAATGGCCACTGAACTAACACAAAGTTACATGCTTAAATTGGAGGCTGGCTGCATAGTAACTTTATGGAGTCCTGGTATGGTGCTGTCAGAGAAGCACTGGACCTTAAGGTTGGTTTGAACCACAAGATCAGCAGTTCAAACTCAAGAGCTGGTCCTCAAAAACCCTCATACAGGATCCAATTGGAACCAACTCGATGGTACTTAACAAGATATTAACTTTATGGCACCTGGTGTGGCACCATAGGGCAAATACTCAATCTCAGTGTGGGTTTGAACTGCAAGGTCGGCAGTTCAAACTCACCAGCCACTTCTTGGAAGCCTATACAGGGTCACTATGAGTTGAACCTGACTTGATGGCACCTAACAACAACAATCCTAGATGAATGTGCCACTTTCAAAACAGCAATTTCCACAAATGATTTTCATCATTTTCAGAGAGGCAATGAGCCTGGCAATTAAATTCATTTCAGAATTAAAACTTGATGAGGTCATAAAGGTAACTAGTAGCAGACCTGGTAAAAGAACCGAAGCTTTTTAAGTTGTCTTATTTTGATTTAAAATGATTAATTTTTTTTTTTTTAAGAAATAAGTCATAATACATGATAAAAACAAAATGCACCAAGTCCCTTCGTCCACCAAACCCAATCCTTCCTTTTATTCCTCATCATTATCCGTATTCATTTCTATAACAGGTGTTGTTGTTGCTGTTAAGTGACATCAAGTTGGTTCCGACTCACAGGGTTTCTGAGGAGAGGCTGGTGAGTTTGCACCACTGATACTGCAGTTCAAACCGAGCTAGTGGTCCAAGTGCTAATCCTACAGCACCATTCCATGACTGCAACAGGCAGTCTAGTGGTAGAGGTGGTGGTATGCCTTGGAGTCAGTTCTGAAGCTGTAAATCTTTACGGGAGCAGAAACCCTCATCTTTCTCCCACGGAACAACTGGAAGTTTCGAATGCTGACTTTGTTTCGACTGCTGAACTTGAAGTTAGAAGCCCGACTCGTAATCACTACGCTACCAGAGCTCTTAATAGATGCTCTAGTAGAAAGCAATTCAATAATTACATAAAGAACAAGAAAAAAAGATTTGGTTTTGAAAAAATTATACTTAGGGTCATTTTGGTTTTTCAAAAAATTTCTCTTTTAAATAATACAGCATTTTGACATCTTTTTAAAACATAAGCTTGTAGCTATCATTCCTGAAACAATGCTGTAAATACTTGACACATTTTATATAAGTTTAAAAAAATAAATGTGATCAATTTAAAATGTAGTCACACTGTTTACCATACATAATACAAGGATATTCTACTTTACGGATATCTAAAAATATTATAAATTATCTACAATATATAATGAGAGTTCCAAAATGTATTATAAAATATAATAAATCATACTCTATTCTTTTCATTCTCCCAGTGCTATTTCTTATAAAACTTAGATACCAACCTACTGGTCAGGCATACCAACATTTAAGGACTCGTACTTTGCCTATTTAAAGAACACATTTGAAGTTTCAAGGCATTAAACTTCCAGGAGCTCAAGAACAAGCAGCAGACTAGGATTTGAAATGAATCATTTAATTTGATATATACTTATCAAATGAGAAGTAAAACTCTGAAGTACTAGGATGCTGAGAAAATGGAACTGTAATATTTAAAAGACTAAATGGCATTATAATCTCTAACAACAACAAAAAAAAAGCGGTAATCAAGCCATTAAACAACTTTTGTATTAAAGCCATTTAGAACACTGAATAACTTGTTCACTATGCAACTACTTTACTTACTTGTCATCATGCTCATAAATATTCAAACCCAAAGCATCAACACCAAGCCACAATTCAGTTCCCTTTTTATTTTTTATTTCAAAATAGTTGACTCCATACATTTCTAGATCTTGTGCAATCTTCAGGTATTCCATCATAGAATCTTCCCTGAGGAAACAAAGCTAACTGTTACATATTTAAGTAAAATCATATAACACTCATTTTAGAATCAATAACTTGACTGAGGTCATAAACGTAATTAGTAGCAAGACTGGTAAAAGAACCTAACTCAGTCTTCTAAGTTGTATCATATTTGGGGGAAGAGCTGCCTCCTCAAAGTAGAGCTGACCATGATGATGCAAATCATCTTGGTCATAAAACTTTTGGGGCCTTTACTTGCTGATAAGGCACAACTCAAAATGAGGAGAAACAACTGTACGTCCATTAATATTCAGAACATGGAATTTATGAAGTATGAATCTAGGAAAATGTTAAGTTGTCAAAAATGAAATGGAATGAATAAACATCAACATCCTAGGCATTAGTGAACTGAAATGGACTGGACTATGACAATCACATAGTTTACTATGCAGAGAATGACAAACAGAAGAACAGCATCACATTCATTTTCAGAAAGAACATTTCAAGGTCTATCTTGAAGTATAATGCTGTCGGTAATAAGATAATATCCATACGCCTACAAGAAAGATCAGCTAATACCACTAATACTCAAATTTATGCAACAACCACTAAAGACAGTGATCACCAACTTCTTCAGTCTGAAATTGATGAAACATGTACTCAAGATGTATTAATAATTACTGGTGATTAGAATGCAAAGGTTGAAAACAAAAAGGAATAATCAGCTTTTGGAAAAATATGGTCTTGTAAAAGGAAACTATGCTAGACATTGCATTATAGAATTTTGCAAGACCAATGACTTCTTCATTAAAAATACCATTTTTAAACAACATAAAAGAAGAATATACAGATGGAACTTACCAGATGGAATACACAAAAATCAAAATGACTATATCTGTGGAAAGGGACAGCGGCAAAACTCCGTATTATCAGCTAAACAAGATAGGGGCAAACTGAAGGAAGAAGTCCAAAGTGTACTGAAGGCACTGACAAAGAACAAGGTTCGAGGAACTGATGGAATACAAATTGAAATCTTTCAACAAATTGATGAGGCACTGAAGGTACTCACTCATCTATGCCAGCTAACTGGAAGACAGTTACATGGCCAACATACTGAAGTGACCCAATGGAATGTGGAAACCATAGGATAGTATCATTAGTATCACATGCAAGTAAAAATTTGCTAAAGATAATTTCAAAAGGCTGCAATAGTACACTGACAGAACTGTCAGAGGTTCAAGCCAGATTCAGATGAGGACATGAAACAAGGGTTATCATTGCTGACATCAGATGGATCTTGACTGAAAGCAGAGAATAACAGAAAGATGTTTACCTGTGATTAGACTGACTATGCAAAAGATTTTCATTGTGTGGATCATGACAAGCTATGGACAACATTGCAGAGAATGAGTATTCCAAAACACTTAACTGTGCTCATAAGGATCCTACCTATACACAGACCAAGAGGTAATTGCTCAAACAGAACAAAGGAACATTAGGAATGGTTTAAAATCAGGAAAGATGTGCACCAAAACTGTATTTTTTTCATCATACTTATTCAATATGTATGCTGAGAAAATAATTCAGGAAGCTGGATTATATGAAGAACGCAGGTTGTTAAATAGTCTTCCTCCAATCCTGATGTCACATCAGGATTGGAGGAAGACTATTTAACAACCTGCGTTATGCAGATGATCTTGCTGACAAGCGAAGAGGACTTAAAATACTTACTGATGAATATCAAAGACCACAGCTCTGGTTCAAATTACACTTCAATATAAAGAAAACAAAAATCCTCCCCACTGGACTAATAAATAACATCATAGTAAATGGAGGAAAGATTAAAGCTGTCAAAGACCTCATTTTGCTCAGATCAACCATCAACACTCATGCAATCAAGAAATCAAACAACATATTGCATTAGGCAAATCTGCTGCACAAGACCTCTTTAAAAAAGTGTTGAAGAGCTGTCATTTTGAGGAATAAGAAGCACCTAACCCAAGCCATAGTATTTTCAATGAGTTCATATGCATGTGAAAGTTGGACAGTGAATAAGGAAGACCATAGAAGAATTAATGCATTTGAGTTACAGTGTTGGAGAATACTAAAAGTACCATGAACTGCCAAAAGAATAAACAAATCTGTGTTGGAAAAAGTACAGCCTGAGTGCTCCTTAAAAGCCAGGATTGGCCAGACTTTGTCTCTGATACTTTGGACATATTATCAGGAGGGCCCCATCCCTGGAGAAGGATATTATGTTTGTTAAGGTGGAGGGGTCATCAAAAAGAGGAACGCCCCCAACAAGATGGTATGGCACAGTGGCAGCAGCAATGAGCTCAAGGGTAATGATGATTGTGAAATTGGCGCAGTACCGGCCAATGTTTCATTCTGTTGTCCAGTACCAACTCGATGGCACCTAACAATAACAGCAACATCTAATACGAAACTGAAATTTTAAAACCATACTGTGTTTATTCACATAAAGTCAAATAATCTTTTGGGGATGTTCAGATGTAATAATCAATGTTACAAAACAACATTAATTTGATGAAAAATTCGGTGAAAATAGTCACTCAAATACCTTAACATTCCTCTATGTTCTTCATGCCAGTTCTGAATTCTTTCTTCCCACTGTTCTTTTGTCAGCTTGTGTTGTTCCAAAACACTTTAAGAAAAAACAGCAACAAAAATTATATATATACACATATGTATGAAAACAGAGTCCTGGTGAGATGCTGTACAATAAGCACTGGAATGTTAACCACAAGGTCAGCAGTTCAAACTCACCAGCCACTCCTTGGAAACCCTATACAGTGTCGTTGAGATGTACCTACCTTGATGACACTTAACAACAACAAGAAAATGCCTCTGTGATTAAAAAAAACAATACTCTTTTTTTAAACTCTAGGAAACCTTCCTGTATCTTGACTATAGTGGTTATCACATATATCTATATTTATGATAAAATTGCAAATTTTATCATACTGTATATCTTTTAGGTAGCAGCCAGTTCTTAACTGCTTGAAACACCTAGGGACTTAACAGAACTCCAATCTGTACATCCACACAAATGAGTGCATGTAAAACTAGTGAAATTTGACTAAATTGGTAGACTATTACCAATGAAAATAACTTGACCGTGACACTGTACTATGCCTTTGTAAGATGTTACCACTGGGGAAGACTGGGAAAAGAACACATGGAATCTCTCTATTATTCTTACAAATGCATGTGAATCTACAATTATCTCAATTAAGTTTCTAGAATTCTTAAGTTACTTTAAATAATACAAGCTTTAAAAGGTTGTTATTATTATACAGATTATAAAACATATTATCTTAATTATGTAAAGTATTTGAAGTAAATAAATTATGGACCAACAAAAAAAGGAGTGGCTTTCTTATATTGAAAGAAAATAAAAGAAGTACTGGTAAAAAAAAAAAAAAAAAATCAGAAATCTTGGACCCTAATTCTTATTTGGAGTTCTGGTGTGGCACTGCAGATTAATGAACTGAATTGCAAAGTCAGATTCAACCACAAGGTCAGGGGTTCAGGCTCACCAGCCGCTCTTAGGACACCCTATACAGTTTCGCTGTGAGTTGGAACCAATTTGATGGCACTTAACAATGACAGCAACAAACAATTCTTATAAACTCTGTTTTTACTTTCTTGCTGCTATTAATTTTATTGCTTTATATAGGTAAAGCAGTATATAAAAATGTATACACAGTAGAGTCTTACTTCCAACTTTATGTCCCACAATTATCTTCTTTCACTATTTGCTATACAGAGGTAAACAAATACAGTGAAACCCACCAAAGCCAAAACCTGCGTAAGGCAGAAGTGTGAGCGAGTAGAAAAACTCCATTTCTCACTAAGTGTGAGTGACAGAAAATTGGTAAGATTGCATAAAGACTGAAAATGTGTAAGTTCCGTATAAACAAGGCAGTTCCATAAACATCTGGCTCACACACAGGTTTCAATGTGTAAATATATACCCTTATTTCCTACAACTGTTGTAGAGTAGTGGATTATGAGCTGGACTGCTAACCAAAATGTCAGCAGTTTGAGTCTACCCTCTGCTCCAAGGGAGAAAGTTGAGGCTTTCTGCTCCCATAAAGGCTTACAGCCTTGGCCACCTTATACAGGGTCACTGTGAGTTGGAACAGACTCGATTACACACGAACACCAACCACCACCACGATTTTCTACAACTGATATTTTAACACCAAATCAGTAAAGCCAGCATGCTTAAAAATATTATTATCTGCTATGAATACTATAAATTATGTATTTCTTTTTTCTTTAGATCATATAATTATATCTACCTTTCTTTATTGGTGAATTTCCAGTACTCTACTTCGTTGCTGTTGCTATAAGTGCAGCTGAGTCAATTCCAACTTACAGCAATCCTGTTTAGGGCTTCCAAGAAGTGGCTGGTGAGTTTGAACCACTGACCTTGCAGTGCAGTGCTTATCTTACACCAAGACTTTACAGATGACAAAAACTATGGTGTTACAATACTAGTTTTACATTGTGAAAATTCTGCATGAAGCTGAGGGAATTCTTAGTGGTATAAAAGACTCTCAGGTTGGAACAGTCCCCCTGGGTAAGTTACTTGCTACTTAGAGTGAATTTCTTAATGGGGTATCAGTTAGACCATATTGGGTTCTTATTACACACTGCTCTTGTCTATGTATATCCATCCTCCTTTGAACTCTTGATTTCTAGGAGTGCTTCATCTTCCTCCTTAGAACACACTTATTAGGTTTACAAGTTTTTCTAGTCTCTATACTTATCATTATTGCCTGGGTGCTGAGCTCACAAAGAAGTACATAATAACCTGATCCAATCAATTACTGATATTATAATGATAATTGCACTTGAACGCATGAGTTAATTGAGTTGAGTATCACCAAGACACACAGCCCAGCTTTTATGAAAAATTTTATATCCTGCATTTCAAATCTCACTCTTTTTCATAATGTACTGTATAAATCTACATGAATAGTCTATGCTGCTGCTGTTGGTATTGTTGAGTCGGTTCTGACCCACAGTGACCCTGTACAGGGTTTCCAAGGAGCAGCTGGTGAGCTTGAACCACTGACCTTGTAGTTCAAAACAACTTTGCAATCCAGCACTTTAACCCACAGTGCCACACCAGGACTCTATGAATGGTCTACAGATACTTCAAAGTTCCCATCCTCTTTTATCCTATGTCCAGATATAAAGAAGTCTCCCTTCATGTCTACAGCTAATCTGTCCAACTTGGCTTTAATTCTACTATCTGGGCCTTTTAAATGGCTACTACTTTCACTTTCTCAGGCATTTCATTCCATCAATTATTGTCCCCTGCCAATATAGTATTATAGAGAGAAAGAAGTCAGTCAAGTTTACCACACTATATATATGCCTAGTACCACAAACTATTTGAAGATCCCCAGTGTGATGTTTACCTCATAGGGATGAGTTTGGGGCTGATCTTGATTTCCAGTACACTCTTGAAGTTAGACAGAGTCTGACAATGCTACTACTGCCTAGATTTTATACTAACTTTATGAATAAGTATCTTTTAAGTTTACATAAACTAAGTCAGGCTGCTCAGAGACAACCAACTCTGAAAGAACAATTGAATTTTTCAATCTACAAAGTTAAAGAAATAATGAAGACGTGTACTTGTTAACACCCTACCTAAAACAGTTCAGCTATCTTTTTTTTACATGGAATGAGTGACAGATCATACACATTTAAAAAAGAAACTGTGTTTAAGTGTGATTTCGGTGTTAAAAAGATTTTTTTAAATCATGAATAGTATATGTAAGACCATCCATCACTTCCTCTGCTGCTCAACAAAGCAACAAGTTATAACAATTATGTTGCATTGGTTGAGACAAGCATACCTATTCTTTTATGAACATTTAAGTATTTAAGGTAATTTTGATTATACATAATATTCAAATTATGTACTGACTTCAAAACCTTATTGTGCCTTTTACTATATATAAACTGTAACAATTAAAATTAAAAATAATCCTTACTTGGTATGAAATTCTGCTGTGGTGCTGTCAGGCATTGGGCTGATAATGAAAGGTCAGCAGTTCAAACCCTTTAGCCACTCCACAGGAGAAATTTGAGGCTGTTTGCTCTTGTAAAGATTCACAGTCTCGGAAACCCTATATAGAGTTGCTACAAGTCAGAATCAACTTACTGGCCATTAGTTTTTGGTTTGTTTGCCTTTTTTTTTAAGTCATCTATTACTCAATCCAGTGCTTAAAAATCTGAGACAAAGGATTTGGTGTTGGAATAGCAGCCGAGTCAAGAACATAAACTGACTAACCAATAGCTCACATTCTGATTCCCTACTCCTTTTGGGAACAACATACTTTATTCTACTTCTTCTAAGGCTGTATTATTGCTATATTGCTACGATACTAAAGGGCACAACAGCGTAATATTTAATAATCACATTTTAAAACTACTATACGTAATGGTAGGAGTCCTGGTGTGGTGCTGTGGGTTAATGTGCCAGACTGCAAAGCCATTTGAACTACAAGGTCGGTGGTTCAAGATCACCAGTGCTCCTTGGAAACGCTATGGGTCGGAAATGACTCAACTACACTTCACAACGACAACAAATACGTAATGGTGGAGTCCTGGTATGGCACTGAACCGCAAGGTCATATGAACTGCAAGACTGGTGATTCAAATTCACCCGCTGCTACTAGGAACCCCTATACTGGGTTGCTCTGAGTCAAAATCAACTCAAAAGCACTTAACAAGAACAGCAACAACATACGTAATGGTACCTTCTAAGGCATATATCAATAGATAACACAGTTTATTAGCCAAAAATAAATGTGATGCTTACAACCAAAACAAATGAAAGATTGACAAGTATTTCTTCATATTTAAGTACTTAAACTTAAGTAAAAGAAAACTATATATTAGAACTTAAACAGAAAGTGATATAAAATTTAAAATTTAAGTTAATGGTAGTATACAGTCTTACATTTAAGTAGAAGTTTCAAAAATTCAAAAATTTCTACTAAGTACAGCAACAATCTCTGTTACTGTTGCTAAATTTCATTGTGCTGGTTCTAATCACAGCGATCCTATATGGAGTTTCCAAGGAGCAGCTGGTTAGTTAGAACTACCAACATTGTGGTTAGCAGTTCAGTGCTTATCCTACAGTGCCACACACTATCTCTAAAAAAATCTAAAAATCTAAAAAATATTAACACAGCTTCTAAAAAATTCTCAATGTATCCTCTAATTAATACCAGGGACATGTTTGCTGCCATAATAAAAAAACTGAGATATAAGATTTGATTTTGTTTTCTTATATTTCATAAATTTTAACTAATACTTCTATCACACTTTACAGTTAGAAGTATAAACTATACAAATCCTGAACTGTAATTATAAACCGAAAGTTATTTTACAGATTTCAACACTGAGGCTCAGTTATGTTATGACCTAAGGTCATAACTTAGGGTGTCCTAATGACTTTTTCCCTAAGTTATGCTATTTTACAGTCACTGTAACAGAGACAGCTATCTGCTGCAGACAAGAGCAGAACCCTAGACTACAAGTCCAATAAATAGTGGAAAAGCCTTTTAAAAACTTTAGAAACTTAATTCTGTAGAGGAAAGTGCAGCCTGCCAGTTATTATTTTCAAAAGCATTTATAAAAGCACTTATCTGCCTGAATTTGAATTTTTACTGAGCAACAAGAGTCACATCCTCCCCCCCCCCTCAGTTCAAGTTATCACTACCTTCATTATTGGTTATCCTATGGAAACAAGGAAAAAAGAAGTAAAAAATGCTGGGCAATATTTTCAGTAAGTATATTTCTGATTAAAAAATCTCCGAAAACTCTGTCCCCAAAATTTCGAATTTACAAACTTCTGGAATATAATGTTTGAGAAACATAACCTAAAGGCATGTCCCACTTACCGTTGGGGTAGGAGTCTGTCATTAGCCAGGTAACCAGGTTTGTGAACCTCTTTATTATAATCTCCATACTTGGCTTGGACGGCATAGGAAGCCAAAAGAACCGCAGTTTCTGGTGGGCAATATATTTCATCATTTAAGATAGCTTCTTTAACTTGCAAGAAGAAAAGTCTCTGGGTTATTTCTTGAATTAATTCCTCAGAAACATCTTCAGGAAAGAATTTAGCTCTAAATTTGAATTGTAAAGGATTCTCTTTTTTAACATCTTGCTGTGTTACCTGGAATGATAATTTTCAGAATGATCAGCAAGAATCTTAGTTTAATAGTATCTGAAATTATTCACCTCAAATTCTTTTTAGAAATGGGATTCTAACCAAATGGGTTACATATACATAAATGAGGAAAAGATACATATTTAATTTTACAAAAGTTTCCTATAACTCACAAATTCAATCTAATAACCAAATTCACAACTTACCTTCATATTCCTGGCAAGCTTACCCTGAAAATGTTTGACTCAAGATCAAAGAACCATTTACAATACCTGATTTTTAAAAATGTCTTAAATGCTTGCTAAGTTTTCAATTAAGAAAAGTGGAGTATTTTTTTATAAGATGAAAAGCTACGGTACCTAATTGAATGAAAAGACATGACACTACCTAATGATTAACATAGAGAACACTGACAGAGGAGTGCTGGAATGCATTTCCAGCAAGTTCAGAACAACTTCAAATTAACTATTAACTTAATGTCTTCAGATTTTACCTTTTTATTCAGTTTAAGCCAAGTAGAATATCCTTTGCTGTCCACATACTGCAGCCCAAAAAACCAGACCTCACGCAAACCAACTGTTTTAACTACCTTTAAAAAAAAAAAAAAGTTGATTTTTAGTTCAACAATCACATTATAATTAGATGGCACTGTACTTCAAAAAAGCAAAATTACATAGTTATTACACATATATGCCTTTGCCATAAAAAAGATGTTTCCTAAACTTAACATATTAAACAAAGGAACATTTCTAAAAATTCATATTCCAGTTCTTTATATTCTATTTTGTAGTGCCACTTCAAAACCTCTTTGAACCACTTTTTCATACCTCCTTCTCTTCTCCCAGCATGACCTCAACAAATAACAAAAACAGTTTGGGAAATACGCGTGCATAATTTCATTTTCTATTTCAATTTATTATTACAACTATCTGTAGTATGTTGTTATTGCTGTTGAGTGCCACTGAATTGCTTCCGACGCATAGCAACCTTGTATGGGATTTCCAAGGAGCAGCTGGTGGGTTTGAACCATCAACCTTGTGGTTAGCAGTTCAGTGCTTACCCTAAGCCCCAGACCAGGACCTCACTTGTAGTATTATTGTCAAGTGTCACTGAGTTGGTTCCGACTCGCAAACCCTGCATAGGATTTGAGGAGTGACTGGGGTTTGAACCTTTTGGTTCAAACCAACGTTTCAATCCAGCACATTATCCTGCAACGCCACAATAGGTCTCCTTGTAGTACAGATGGGGCTAATAATGCTGCTAATAAGGAAAGCATCTCAGAACACATTCAAATGCCATATCCCAGGCTATCCAGATGGTAATTTCATTCTCATTTCCTTTCCTTCACCTCGTATTCTGTGCTCTACCACCAATGAGCAGAAAATCATTTTTGAACAGTTTACAAACGTCAATATTCTACACTTCTGCTACTACTATTTACTCTGCCTGGAATGTTTCTTTTAATACCTGCTGAATAATCTACTCTTCAAAGCCCAGTTCAACTAGCATGACCTCTGTGAATGAAGCCTCTATCTTCTAGACAAAACCAATTACTTGTTTGTTCCCTAATGCTCCCATATATAGTATTTTATCAATATTTCTATAAGAACATTTATTTATTCTACCATATCACAATTAAGTATAATATTAGCAATGTATATATCTGCTGTTTTTGATTATACAAAATTTAAGGACAGATTATTTTCTTCTTCATCTTAATATTCATGCCCTTTCACAAGCAAGATTAGCCTGGAGTAGGTGCTCAAAAGCATAAAAGTAAATGAAATGGGATACCCAGGATTGTGTCCCTACTTAACAAAATCTTATGTTAAAAAAAAATCTATATTTAAAATTAGAGAAAAGACCCAGGAGAGAGTGAATTTATTAACATTTTGCATTTTCAAAGCTTAACAAAGAGAGTCAACGTTAGTTCTTAAATTATACATTTTGACAATATTTTTAATCCAGGTTTTTGGTTTAACTTAACATACTGAACCTTTCATTTTATTCTTTCCCTTAAGAAATTTAAAGGAAATGACACATACACACATATAAAATTAAAAATAAGAAACAATATTAAGCTATGCTAGGATATATAAAAGGTTACCATCAAAAAAATCAAAAACTTGAGACATTTTTGGAAGGTATGGGTTATATATATATATATATATAAAAGGAGCTCTGGTAGCGTAGTGGTTACGAATTGGGCTGCTAACCTCAAGGTTGGCAGTTCGAAACTATCAGCTGTTCCACGGGAGAAAGATGAGGCGTTCTGCTCCTGTAAAGATTTACAGCCTCGGAAACCCTGTGTAGGGTCACTATGAGTCGGAACCGACTCCACGGTACTCAACATATATATAGAGAAAAAGCGAGAGAGAGAGAGAGAGATACAGGGACAGAGAGACAGACTGAGAGAGAGAGATTCATACTGATAGAAAAAAAACAGAGAGAGAGAGAGCGATTCATACTTATAGAAAAGCTGATCAATGCCAAACACCCAAAGATTTAACGTAGCCAATGGATATCCCAAATAACTGAATACTGGCAAAGGATAGGCTGTCCCAACAGAGTCAAGGAAACATTAAAGCACAGAAGGAGACCAAAGAAGAAAATTAACACAAGTCAAGGGCAGCAGGGCTAAGTGGACTGAACAGTTAGTCAGTCTCAGTTTTTGTCTCTAAGCCTTTTGTGATTCACAGTGATGGTTAAATAAAAGGGTGATTAGAAACAGTAAACAGGAGGATGAATCACTTAACTTTGTTGTTGTTGTTGTTGTTGTTAACTGCCATAGTCAGTCTGAACTCTCACAGAGACGGTGCATAGGGTTTCTGAGGAGCAGCTGGTAAATTTCAATCTTAAGGTTAGCAAACCAGCTCTTATCCTATAGCACCACATCAGAGCGTTTACACTACCACAATAAACACTAGAGGGAACAAGAGAGCTCAACTGTGAATTTTCCTAACATGCCCTGTCTCCAGAGTGGCACTTTCTAGTTGATTCTGAACTGCCCCCATAGGGTTTCCTACACTGCAATCTTTATAGCAGCAGATCACCAGGTCTTTTGTCCTTCAGAGCCCAGCCGCTGCTGAGTTCAAACAACTGACGTTCCAGTTTGCAGCCAAGAGCTTAACCACTGCACTACTTTGTTGTCAGGTGTCATCGAGTTGGAACCAACTCACAGCAACCCCATGTACAACAGAACGAAACAATGTCCAATCCTGGGCCAACCTCACTACGGCCGCCACACTTGACGCTATCAATGATGCCACCTGGCTGATCCATCTCGTTGGGGTCTTCCTCTCTTTCTCTAACCCTCCATCTTACCCAGCATGACATCCTTCTCTAGCGACTGTTCCCTCCTGACATAATGTCCAAAGTATGAGAGACGAGTTTAGCCATCCTGGCCTCCAAGGAGCAGTCTGGCTGCACCTCTTCCAAAACAGATCTAGTGGTTCTTTTGGCAGTCCATGGCACTTTTAGTATTCTCATCCAACACCACAACTCAAAGGCATCAATTCTTCCACGATCTTCCTTATTCACTGTCCAGCTTACGCATCCATATAAGGTTATTGAAAATACCAAGCCTTGGGTCAGGCGCACCTTAGTCCTCAAGCTGACATCTCTGCTCTTCAACACTTTAAAAAGTTCATGTGCAGCAGATTTGCCCAATGCAATATGTCGTCCGATCTCTTGACTGCGGCTTCTGCGAACGTTGATAGTTGATCCAAGAAGAATGAAGTCCTTGACAACTTCAATCTTTTCTCTGTTGATAAGAATG